GCTACCAAATCTCAAAGCAAAATCTCTCAGTCCTCCCCAGCTCAACACAGCCAACTGGTTTACCCTGTAGAAATTAACACAGAGAGTGCCCCAGGGAACAGCCCTTTTATGTACAGAGCAGACTTTAACAGCCAAGTAATTAAACCCTGAAAGTAAGGGCTTATAATTAAAATGCTGACAAACCTGAACTGGAGCGGCACAAGGAGAGCTGCTATAATATTTTTACAATTCCTTTTTATACATAATGTATGATCCTTCTGCTCAAGTTTCCTCTATGTTCTTTGCCTGTGAAATAATTTACATTAATAAATAATTTATTACCATAACTCCTAAAGTAATTATGGGTTTCCATCCAATTTTTTTTAGCATGTGAATTGTTTTGTTCTCTGTCCATTGACTTGTATTTACAAGACTTTTCCTAGTAGCCTTTTTAAGATAATTGCTATTGCCTATGCTTTCTCACATAGTATGTGATTTCCAGGTCCCCTCCTCGCCTAAGTGGTGAGGAAAATGGAATGTGTGGTGTCCATTGTCCCTACAATTCAAATGCGCTGAATGGCTGCAATTAGCCAAGGGGGGTGAATGGAGACGGCGCTCACTCCACTTGCCCTGTTTCACCAAAAAAGATTAAACTAGCGCACGTGTAACCCCGGGTTCCCCACTGCAAATGGCAGAAGATCTGGAGGGAGCCTGGACTGAGTGCGTGTGTGGCTCTGCCTCTCCCCACACAGGATGCCGCTCAGCCACAGCCCGCGCCCCTCTTTTACCCACTAGAAGGGGAGCCAGGAGGAAGGGCTGGCTGCAACACCCAGCCAGCTGACCAGTGGGTGGGATGCACCATGGAGCTGCCACCTGACCCATGTTTCTTTCCTGTGTTGAGAGCACAAGACCCGGTCATATAAATGGCTCTTTCCCAGAGAAGCTGTGCAGAGGAAATTCCGCTTCAGCAAAGAAGGTGGGCTGGGGATGCTCTGGGAGATGAGAAAGGAGGCCCGGAGTCCAGTCCCTGCTGGCAGGATCCCTGTGGCGAGGGCTGAGCTGGCACCTCATAAGAGGCACTCAGCCCTGTGTAGGGCCGGCTGGGCAGCACTCAGCTCCACCCTCTCTGCTTCTCCCATCCACACTTCTCCCATCCATGCTGGCTTTGTTCTCTCTTCCACACTGAAAAGCACAAAACCACTTTTCTGTATCAGGTTCCTAAAACTGGGGTGGGGGACAGGAGTGGGGAGGGGCCTGGTATCCAGCTTGCAATCCCAGGACGTGAAGTGCTTTAAAGAAAACAAAAAAAGCATAGGCCAGGTGCGGTGGCTCACACCTGTAATCCCAGCTCTTTGGGAGGCTGAGGTGGGTGGATCACCTGAGGTCAAAAGTTCCAGACCAGCCTGACCAACATTGTGAAACCCTGTCTCTATTGAAAATACAAAAAATCGCTGGGCACAGTGGCAGACACCAGTAATCCCAGCTACTCGGGAGACTGAGGCAAGAGAATCGCTTGAACCCAGGAGGCAAAGGTTGCAGTGAGCCAAGATTATGCCACTGCACTCTAGCCTAGGCAACAGAGTGAGACTCCATCTCAAAAATAAATAAATAATAAGTCATTGTTGTGAGCACTCAATTATATGAGTTACCTGTTTTATCTAAGTAGGTGCAGAGGAGGCTGAGCTACTTGAAAGGGTGACATTTTAAGAAGCAATCAGGATGCTGTGCTCCTTGCCCTAATGCACTTGCACAGATTTTCTGCAGAACATTTGTGAAATTTGAACTCATACTGGCTTCCAGCGAGGACTGTGGCATGGGGGCTCAGGAGGAAAAAATCCTGAGTCACAGGGCCAACTGTCCCCAGCTCTCCTGGGAGAATTCCACTGCTCAGCACCAGAACATGAGTCCTTTATCTTCAGGAGACAGGCTGCAGGGTTGGTGATTATGATAATTTGGTGTTTTATCTTTGCACAGCATTGTCCAGCACTGGAAGGACCCAAAACCCTCTTGAAAAGTCCAGCCGGCCCCTCAGAGTATTCTCTTCCCCACTGTTGAAAAGCAGGCACACTGGGCATGGTGACTCACGCCCATAATCTCAGCACTCTGGGAGGCCGAGGCGGGCGGATCACAAGGTCAGGAGATCGAGACTATGCTAGCCAACACGGTGAAACCCCGTCTCTACTAAAACTACAAGAAATAACTGGCCGTAGTGGCACATGCCTGTAGTCCCAGCTACTTGGGAGGCTGAGGCAGGAGACCCGAGAGGTGGAGGTTACACTGAGCTGAAATCGTACCACTGCACTCCAGTCTGGCAACAGAGTAAGACTCCGTCTCAAAATAAGTAAATATAAAATAAAATAAAAACAGGACACCTGAGATGTAATCTCGCTGCCTGGGGTGCACTCCCAGTTCATGGAGCACAGGGAGGCCTGGAGAGGTAACCCAAGCTTCCACTAGACAGAGTGGGCAGGGTAAGGCCCCTGACTCCTGACCCCCACCAGCAAGTGCAGGAAAGGGACAGAGGCAGGAGGGAGGATGTGTGCTAGTGCGTGGCCATCTCCTTAAATCCCCACAACTTGCAAGCTGAGGAAACCTAGCCAGGAAGACAGGGCAGTATCCCCATAGCTCAAGGGCCTCCACACTCATGGACGCCGGCCTACGCTGTGCAGAATTCACTGTTATTGATCTTTCTCCTCCATCAGACAGAAATCTCCTTGAGGGAAGGGGCAGGGTCCGATCCACTCTCTCCCTCAGCAGGTGCCTGACACATAGCAGGCGCTCAAATCATATCTATGACAGCAAGCCATGAAAATGCAAAGGCAATGCGATGGTCACTCAGCGATGTACGATCACGCAGGGCAGGGTTTTCCTGAATCAGGGAGGGGCTGAGCAACAGAAAGATTAGGCCTATGGGAGACAGAGCAGCAGAGGAGAACAAGAGGTCTCCAAAGACCCCCAAAGGCTTCCTGCTCCTCCCTCTGCTGCCTGGCAGTGTCCTGGCATTGTCCCACAGAGCAGAAGGAAGACAGAACCCTGCTGAAGAGAAGAAGAGCCTAGGACGGAGGCATTGGCACCCAGCCAGCACATCCTGAAGAGCCACTCTGTAAACAGGAATCTGGAGACTCAACACAGTCCCTCCTGGAAACCATGACCTCCTTGGCAGGAAGCAGGTTGCTGGGCTCTGCAGCCTCTGACAGACTCTCCTGGGTCAGCTGGGCTTTTCCCCCGACACCTCCCTTCCCCAGGGCCTCTGCCTTGGTATCTGGGCCTCAAGACCTGCCCCTACAAGGGCATCTCTCTCTCTCTCATCACAAACCCACCAGACTTCCACCTTATTATAACTTACACAGTGCAAAGATCAGAAAGCCTTGAACAGCCTTGAAATAAAGACGAACGTCTCCACAACCCAGTTTACTGGTCTGGCCCAGCTGACAGCGAAAGTCTAGGCAGGGTTGAGGGGCTGGGCATGCCGGGGCCTCTCTCTCTTTCCCAGGAATGACACAGGAAGGAAGCTCAAAGGTCCAGGAAGCAGGCAAAGAGGCAGGCTTCTGAGCTATGTGTCTGGGGCGCTGAGGGTTTGCCAAAAGCTGTAAACCACCAGGGAGGTATTCAATCCTGTGGGGAGAGACCTCAGAAGTATGTCGCATGGTAAACCAGGCCAATTGATCTCCGTCTCCACCTTCTTCAGTGACAGTGTCAGGAGCACCGCCAGGTGTCCCAGAGCCTTGGCACGTGGTGGAAAAAAAAACTATCTTCCTTCGCCACCCACCCGAGTCCAACTCTGCCTACTGAGGGACCTTGCAGAGGGGCACCTCGCTAGACCTCCGTTCTCCCACATGTAGATGAAGCCACTGGCAGAGCAGGCAGGGCCCTGCATGTAAGGAGACTGGAACAGTGCTCAATCTGACACAATGGCACCCTCCATCGCCTCATCTATGGGGACTGTATCTAAAGAAGAAAAACAAAACACCGTACGTGGAGTAAAAGGACAGAGAAGGAAAGGCAAGGGAGACTACAAGGTCTGACCGAAGTCAACTTGGAATCTGAAAGGCCACAATAGTCATCCATCATCCAAGAGTGGCTCCGGAGTCCAAACAGACGTTACGGAAACTCACCCGGCAAGACGTCCCCAAAGGTGGGCAAGGAGAGCCACAGAGAGACAGTGAGAGGTGAAACAATGCCCAACCAGCTGAAGCGTCAAGAAATCAATATAATCAATAGTCATTTTTTTTACCTCCTGTAAAAAAACAGTAATTCACACCTGCACAGAATCAGAAGATGAAGGCAATCTTCTCTGGAAGGCACGTGAGCAATATGAATCAAGAGCCTTAAAAATGCCCCTGCCCTCCAGCCTGTCTATTCCACTCCTGGAGACTATCCTGGCAAATTATCTAAAAGGCAGACAGAGACTTCGGCACTGACATAGTCACTGTTCATCCCGACAGCAAACAGAACGGCCCCTGGACCCCACAGCCTAGCCACAGTTACATCGCTAAAGACAATCTGATGCATTTGCTACACAGCGCAGTACTGGAGACCATTCAAATGAACAACTTTAACGCTGCGGGAACATGATGGTAACCGCTCCAAGTGAAAAAAGCAAACGAATATAGTTTTACATAATTACATGTTCAACGTGCAGTGGGCTATATAAAAAATGCTAACAACATAAACATACACGAAAATATCAACAGTAACTCTCCCTGGGCACTGAGGCTACGAGAGAGTTTTGTTGCATATTTTACACTATTGTACATTTTCTGAATGAATAAAATCAACATGAATTACTTTAATCATCAGACAGAATTTCTCAATGTTAGAGTTGTAAACCACACAACAGTGCCTGTCCCTTCACTCAGACACCACAGGGGACCCAAATAGTTAAAACACACAGAAGAGTCCCCGGGGCTGCTCTTTTTGAACTTGTGTCCGGAAAGCGCTTTGAGCGTCTCACCTGGAAGACTCAGACCCTGGCTGGAAGGGCTAGGAGGACAGCTCCCAGGACGGCCTTGAGTACTTACCCATAATTCCACAAGAGAAAAGTGTAGGTCCTTGACTCATCTTCTTTGGCGTGTGCTGAAAACAACCAGAAAAGCTATTCACTCTTCAAGTCATAGGAAGCAAGTTTGCACTGACTCTGTACTGATCCCTTCTACAGTCACAATAAAAGGGTGACCGTCCTTTGCCAATGTCAGATCGGGGAAAGGAGGAAAAGGTATTCAAAGATAAAACATCTGCACAGAATTAGGCCCACACTTTTTTGTCCCAAGTCTCCAGTGAGTTAAGGAGTCCACTGAGTTAATGGGCTTTGAAAACACAGAAAGCCCCAGGACCTCTGATTTTCCTACACGAGTGAGGCGGAGGCGGCCCAGGGACAGGGTAGATTGGTAAACAGTGGAACAAGCTTCCCTGAGCTGAGCTGAGAAGAGACCAAAAGAGGAGGGGACCTCCCTGGGGACATGAAGAACCTCAAGTAGGGAGCAGAGGGCCCCAGGTCCCACTCCGAGACCCCTCCCTTCCACATTCAGGGACAGCAGCTCTCCCGCTCTGGTGAGAGGCACGGGGAGAGCTCGGGAGGCCTCTGCTCTGCAGGCTGTTTTGTGGCTACATCAAGGCCCCCTGAGGCATTTTCTCTGAACTGAAACAGAAACTCAAGGGTTATATTTGGTCTCCACATAGCAGCTCTGGCTTTTGAACTCCTCGGCACTATAGTTCCACAATGGTTTCCCTTTCCACTGTCAACACCCTAGGTCTTCCCTGATGCCCCACGCTACCCTCAATTGAAAGCTATGGCCATTGGGCAGAAAACAGGCCAATGAGGCCTAGAAGAACCCCAAATCCATGGCTACACAGTAAGCTGGGTGTGGAATATTCTGGGGGTTTCTCATGCTAGGTGACACCCAGGTCAAGAGGCTTGCTCTGTCCTCTCATGAGCCGGAGCCCCAGGAAGCAGCTCAGTCTCAAGGGCTCCAAGGCTCCCTCACTCACTCACCCACTCTCTCAGTGGGCACAGGCTGGTGATTCTCTCTGTGCGAGCTGTGCTGGGGGCTGATCGTGCAATGGTGAAAGGAGCTCTCAGCCCTAGAGAAATCAGCCTGTCACAGAGGCTCTAACTTCTGAAAGGAACCCCCAACACTCCCCATCAAAATGACATGAACAGACAGGGTTTCAGGTCCTGGCTCATAAAGGTCTGGCAGGAGGCTAACTAGGAACACCTGGCCCATCCAGTTAAGAGGGTGGCAAGCACCTGGCACCAGCTCCCTCACCCCATCCCCATCTGCCCAATCTGGGGACCTCTGCACTAGGTCAACAGTGTGTTCATCCCACAGGGTTACCAACAGTCCATCGTGCCCAACCCGGGGACACAGAGGTGGAGGAGGGCTCACACTTTATGGAGGATAGTCACAGACAAACCACAGAGACATGGGGGCTGGAGGGGATGTCAAGGGAAGCGTGCTGGGACGTGGGTGGAGGTCGGGGTAGCCTCCTGCAGGGAATGCCTAGACTGGTGCTGAAGGACCGCAGGAGCTTACAGGGCTGAAGGGGAAATGGGGCAGTCTCCACAGGTCACCCTCCTCAATTTAAAATGATCCAAACAATGTCATTAGGCCAGGTCACCCTCCTGGATTCCACAGTGATGGAACCATCCCTCTACTGACACCTGTGGGAATAGCTGGAAAGAATTCAAAATGGCTGCACTGGTTTCCCCCCATCCCCCCACACAATCCCAGCTAAGACCAAACCAAAGTCATCCCATGGACAGTGGGTGACGAGCGCATGACAGCCTGCTGCTGGGGCTGCCTGCACAGTGGAGAGCTCAGCCTGTGGATGCCAGGCAGGCCCCCAACTCTCAGGCTGAGAGGGAAGGCAGGCCGGGGCCTTACTTGCCAAGGGAGGTGGCTCCCAGTACTAAGGGAGCACCTGGGCACAAGGAAAACACCCCCTGGGAAACCCCAGCCCCCAGCCCTGTGCCTGCCAGGTGGGCGAAGCCAACCCAGGCTGGGAGCCCACAGAGGCCACACCAGGATGGGGACTGGGGAGAACAGAAGAGAGCAGGAACACTGGAGCACCCTGTGCACTTCACTGGCATGCATGGAGGAGGGCTGGGGGTTTTCCACACCGAAGCAGGAAGCCACAGAGTGAGCCGCCCCCAGACTGGCCAGCAGAACAGTGCTTGCTGGCCGCCTCTCACCAAGCCGGCTTGTTCTCGATCAAAGGGGATCTCAGGGCCCTCCTGACCCAGGCCCTCACAAGAAACATTGCCAGAGATGCTGGGGTCTGTCTGCCTGCCGGGGCAACACTGGCCCAGCACACAGAGCACCCTAGGCACTCGCTAATACTCGACTTGCTCATTCTTTCATTCAATAAGGACTTGTCGGTATCTGCTGCAGGTCCCCAGAGTGGCCTGCCATTTCCAACCTGGGAAACACACTCCTCACCACCCCACCACTGGCCCTGATCCCAGCGCTGCCAGCCCCAATAACACCCCTCCTAACTGCTCTTACAGCCTGTGCCCTGGGCCCCAATTCCCCACCCTCCACCCAGAGCCATCTTCTAAAAGCAGAGATCAGACCACGTCATTCTGTTCCACCAACTTCCCACTGCAAACAGAATCAAATCCAGCTGCTACCTCTCCTCCACAGCATACATGGCCCTGTATGAGCCAACCGGAGTGCCCCCAACCTTGCTCTGGCCCTCCCCGCCGCATTCACTCCACCCAGTGGGGCCAGGCCAGTCAGTGCCATCTCAGGGGCTTTGTGCTGGGATTGTCACGCAGCAGGCTCTGCACTGTTCCTGTCCCGCGGCCTCCTCAGTGGCCTTCCTGGACCATCCTGGCTAAAGTGGTACCTCCTGCCATATTCCTCTCTCTCCTATCACCTTGATTAATGAACATGATAGGTACTGGAACACCTGTTCCTCTACTGATCCTCTGCTCCATGGGAATGGAAGCTTCTTGAGAAAGCAGGGCTGTCTTGGTTCCAACATCCCAGCAGACAGCAGGTACCACGGCCACAGTCACCTGCCAGCGCCAGCCTCACTCCTGTGGCCACACACCCAGTGGATGGCAGGCAATGGAAATGGATTTTCACTGGGCAGAAGCTACTGCCTCCCAAAATCACTGGCCTCATGTCAAGTCAAATCTCAGTGGGGAAGAGGTGAGAGGCCAGCCTGAGAGTCAGAGCTGCCCACAGGCTGGCCTGGCCTCCGCGTGTGGTCTCCAACACTCTACCTAAGGGTCCCCAGGAGCAATGGTGCACACCTCTCCAACTCGAAGGAATGACATCTCCATGTCCCCATCCCAAGTGAGCCACTGCTTGCTCCTCGCACTCAACAGATGAAGCCACAGCCCAGGAGTGCAGCCCCCTCTTCTGTCAGCAGCACCCCAATTTTGAACTGGGTACCTTCACCCTCACTGGATCATGTCTTAGTGGGACTATCAACTAAGGTGCCTCCACCTCCCCTGGCCCCAGGCTGGGCCCAGAACTCAGGCCTGGCTGACTAGACACTGGCTCCATGGCTGACTCCTGACCACAGGGCTGGGGCTGATTAGCTCAGCAGCGAGGCCCTGAGCTTGCCCGTGAGCACCTGTTCCAAAGTGCTCCCAGCTGCTCCAGCCCTGCCCTTTCTGAGGCTCAACTTGCCCCCCTCCTCTCTAGCCCTGCAAGCTCTCCCTGTGCTCCAGAAAGTTCTCTTTTGGGGTGAGTGAGCTGGGGATGGCCTCTGGAGCTGACAAATGAGGAACCCTGACTGATTTTGTGCTTGACCTCGAGACCAGACCAGGGCCCATATCTTGCTTTCTGAGCCCCATCTGTGAGGCTAAGCCAGTGGTGGCCAGGCCAGAATGTCATGTACCGACAGCTTCCCAGGGCGCCAGGCGCAGCACACCCTGACCAGTGGCAGGTCTCCCTGGTCCAACTCCACAGGGGCAAAGCAGCAGAGTTCCCGCCTGGCTCTGGGTTAGCCAGGGCCTTTCTCCCCCGGATACCAGTACAGGCTAACATTCCCACTGGTGTGTGCCGTTCCTACAGCCAGCCTTTCCAGCCCTTTGAACCTCTGGCACCCACGGTGGGAAGAATGAGCAAATCACTGAGTGGAGGCCCACAGGCCCTGAGGGAAACCGGGCCCTCTGAGGTTTCACAAGACACTCAGTGTCTGCACTGGCAAGCACCCGAGACCTAGCTGAGGTCTGCAGTGAAATCAGACCACATGTTCCCCTTTGTGTGTCTCCCACTGTGAAGCCTCTGTTCCCAAGCCCACCCTGGGGCAGGGCCTCATCTCTCTGAGACTCCTCAGATCGTGAGAAGGTTTTTGGAATTAGATCCTCGTAGGAAAGGCAAAAGCTGGAAATCAAATGGAGGCTTCAGGGCCATCTGTCTGACTAAAGAAAGCAGCCCTGGCTTAAATAAAGACACAATTAAGGCTCCAAATGAGGAACTGGCCCTGCAGAAAACGCCAGGCCCAACCACGGTTCTTCATAACCTTCCTCTGCACGTTATCGACTAACGCAATCAAGGGCCTTTTCCGTCTCCTGACATGGCATCACAGGGGCCACGGCGTGACAGGGGGAGGCTCGCACTCGTGCCCTGCAGGGGAACGAACAGGACACCCACGCTTCCGAAATGGAACCCCACAACACTGTGGCAGCTGAAAGCAAAAAGGAGATCCAGGCCTGAGACTAGAAAGAGAAGCTGAGCAGGGAACAGCGCCTTCAGGCGAAGGCTCTCAAAATGCTGATGGAGATCCAGTGGCCCTGCCTCCCGGGACTCCGGGGTTAGCCAAAGCATGGGCAGGCCCCTTGGTGTCCCTGCCTGCCCAGAGTGAAGGGTATCAGGCTGCCCGGGACCCTGAGCTCTAACCTCAGGCCAGCCTTGGGCCTGCCAGGGATCGTGGCTGGGACTGTTGAGCCCAAAGTGCCAACTGAGCATGGCCCAAAGTATGAAGAACCCCAGTGCCCAGGCAACTGGTGCAAGCCCCGACATGGCCAGTAACTCCTCAGATGAGGAAAGTCATTCAAGCCCTGGCACCCTCATCTGACAACTGCAGAAGGAAGTGCTTTTCTGTCTACTAGATCAGCCCCTCCAAAAGACTCGTGTTGATTGTTACGGGGAAAGTCAGGCCTCCGGGAGCTGCACACTGCCCTCTGCCCAGGGGCAGCCAGCCCTCAGCTCCCTTCGGTCTTCAGCCTTGAGGGAGGATGGGCGACTGGCTGCAGAGAGAACGGGCCTGGCCAAGGGAGGTGGTCACTCTGGAAACAAGAGAACAGGCCCTTGGCCCGAGCGGGGGCGTGCGGGAAGGAGCTGAGGGAGTACAGTGCTCCAAGGTCAAACATCTGGGCTGCCTTCCAGGAAGCAGCTCATGTTAGAACACTGGAAGGAAGGGCCCACTCGGCAGAGGACAGCACCGGGCAGAGTAGGGAAAGGGGAACCGGCCCGGCCATGGCTGTCGGCAGTGCAAGCAAGGCCAGGGCCACAGGCACAGCCTGAGCCTCAGGGCCTTCTCTCCCTGGGCGGGTGGGCCCTGTGCTGGGAAAGGCAAAATACTGAGCACTGGACCTTTTTCCCCTTTTTTCCTACACCTTTCTTTGAGGAAGAGACAGCTGTGTCACCAGCATTTAGTTTTAAAAGGGGAACCAGAGGACCATGGTATGAACCCCTAGGAAGGCAGGGAGGGAGACTGAGTCCCTGCACCCCTCAACTGGCCTCAGAGTTGGCCACGAGCTCCTCCCCCAGTGACACATGACACCCAGGGTTGCAAGGCCCCTGTGACTTTCTGCCTCTGTGACTGAGGCCTGACTCTGGCGACCCAGGGTGAGCTGCGCCTCTGGGGCCTGCTCCCATAATTCCGATGTGGCCTGTGCTGACCAGTCCTGGCCTCCCCCACGGTCATGTTTTCTTTCTAAATCTTAAACCTTCAACTGTTATCTACTTAGTCTGATTAGAAAACAAAGACAAATTATTTTCCATCGTTCCTCTTGTTATCTTGATGGTATTTACACGGGGATGATGTTACCCGTTTAGGAAGAAAGCAAAACCCCGTCCACTTCCTCTGAACCTGTGCGGGCTGTTCAAAGCAAATGCTAGCATCAGCTGATCTCACATTCTGTCCTGCGGATGTCATCACTAGACTGAGATTATTTTCGGTATTTCTTCGGTTATTTACATAGTGTGCCGCTCCCCAAGGCCTGGAGGGGCTCCAAGGTGATCACAGCCTCTGGAACGGGACCCATGCGAGAAGGTGATGGGGAAGCAGACAGGGCCTGGACTTGAAATCTGTGACCGGGGCAGCCCCTCCCTGGGCTCTTTGAGCCCCAGTTTCCTGTCTGTATAATAGGGTAGAAATGGGGACATCCCTGCCCCTCAGCAGGTGACGTGAGGCTCAAGGACAGGGAGGAGGCACTTGGACCTCTGAAAGTGCCCTCCTGATCATACAGTTTGGACGTATGTCCCCACCAAATCTCATGCGGAAATGTATCCCCAAGTGCTGGAGGCGGGGCCTGGTGGGGTGTTTGGGTCATGGGGGCGGATCCCTTGTGAGTGGCTTGGCGCCCTCCCCATGATAATCAGGGAGTTCTCACTCTTCTAGTTCATGTGAGGGCTGGCAGTTTCACAGGTCTGTCACCTCGTCACTTCCCTCCCTCTCACCTGTGACACACCTATTCTCCCCTTACCTTTTGCCATGACTGGAAGCTTTCTGAGGCCTCACTAGAAACAGATGCAGATGCCATACTTCTTACACAGCCTGCAGAACCATAAGCCAAGTAAACCTCTTTTCTTTATAAATAACCCAGCCTCGGGTATTCCTTATAGCAACACGATATGGACTAATACACTTCCCAGGACCCTGAGTGCAGCCGCACCTGACACCTTCCTGCTGGCCCACGCTGCAGGGCAGGCAGCACGAGCCGGGCTGGGGCAGGCAGCATGAGCCGGGCCGAGCCAGGCGCTGACACTCAGTGTCTTCTGAGTGCATCAGCAAAGTGAGCAGCAAGAAGGCCCCTCTTCAACAGGGCTGCTCCCCACAATGGACCTCTCATCTGGAGCCAAGGGGAGAGAAGAGGAGGAGGAGGACCACAGATGGGCCCGAAGTACCACACACTGGGTGGTTCTGGGCCGGACAGGCCAGTAACAAAATGCAGCAGAAAGAAGGCTTTCTGACAAGGCCAGGAAGAGTTCAGGAAGAAGGCACAGACTCTAATCTGGAGGCAGCAAGAGACAACGTGGTGGAATCCCTTCCAGCAAAGCCGCCTGCTGTCCCCTGACCACTGTCCTTTTCTGAGAAGATGAGTTTTCCTGCCCTGGCTAGGGCTGGGAGACCGTGCTCCTCCGGGCAGGGCTCAGGCCACATCTCTTAGAAGAGCACCTCAGCTAACCTTGGGCCCACGTGTCCTGGAAGCAGCTCTGAAGCCAACACCAGGCAGACCCACCCTGAGAAGGGATCAAGCAGAGGCGGCCAGGGCGGCCAACAGCACAGCTGGACCCGGGCAGGGCTCCACCCTCGGGACCCCCAGTGGCTCCTCAGCCTTGAGGTCACCTCTTTTTGGTTAGAGCTATTCTAGTCACACCCACTCAGTCGTGAACATGAGCAGCAGCCAGAAAGAGAGTAAGACAAAGGAGAAAGAGAAGCACCTGCCACACGCTGGGCCCTGTGCATTCCGCCACAAGCAAGAGAGACACCGCTGCCTTCACACAGCTCCCCTGCTGGACTCTGGAACAGGGCCCATGCGAGGTGCTGGGGAAGCAGACAGGGCCTAGACTTGACATCTGTGACCAGGGCAGCCCCTCCCTGGGCTCTTTGAGCCCCAGTTTCCTGTCTGTTAATAGGGTAGAAGTGGGGACACCCCCATTTCTTGATCATTGTCAAGATCCACAGGGGCATGTTTAAAAGTGCTAAGTGCCTAAGAGGGAAAAAGACAGGAAAAGGGGCAAGTGTGGTGGGGATAAGGGTAGGCGCTGGCGGTGGGACTGACCTGCAGGTGGAGAGGTCAAAGAAGGAGGGAGGGAGGGAGGGAGGGAGGGAGGGAGGGAGGGAGTCCTACTGTGGGGAGAGTGCTCCAGGCCAAGGAAAAAGTACAAAGGGCTGAGGCAGGCTCACACTTGGCATGTTGGAACAGGGAGGCCAGGGGGGACTGAGCAGAGTGAGGAGGCAGAGTGCCAGGGATGGGGTCAGAGCAGTCAGGGGGACAAGAATACATGGGGCCACATACATCCTAGTAAGGGCTGGGTGTCTGCTGAGCACACGGGGCAAGGCCAGTGGAAGGTTCTCCAGAGGAGGACAGCTCTGACTGCGACCCTCTCTGGCTACTGGGTAGAGAACAGGTTAGAAAGAGCCAGAGGCAGGGGGCCAGTTACAAGAATCCAGGTGGGAAAACAGCAGGCGGAACCAGGGTGGTGGCAGTGGGGCTGGTGAGAAGTAACCTCATTCCACGGTAAATATGAACCAGAAAGGCAGGGGTGGTGGCAGAAGCACTGAATGGTCACAGCAGCTCTACTCCTGGCTGCCATCCAGCAAACACACCTCAGCTGCCTGCTGTCTGCCCTGCCCTGGCAGTGCTGGGGAACAAAAAGGAGCAAAGCTGGGTCCTCATCCTTGCAGCTGGGGGTGACACCCCGTAGAGACCTCACAGGCTGAGGCCCACGAGCAGAGTGGCACCAGTGCCACGCCTGGTAAGGGCTGGAGAGACCTGACTGAGGGAGGGCCACTGAGACTGGCGTCCAGATCCCAGGCAGCCAGCAGAGGCCTGAAAGCAGGCCCAGGAAGTGGGGCTGGAGGGAGGGGGAGGCGGAGCTGGTGAAGCAGTTACTGCCAGCTCCAGGTTGCAGCTGCCCCGTTTGTAAAATGAGGCTGGGCCCAACAGTGTCTAAGCCACTTCTCACCCTTCAAGGCCAAATCAAGTATCCCTGCTCTGCAAGGCTTTCCCTGGAGTGTTACAGCCAGGCGGGCCCTGCTGCTCTACACGCCCTGGGCTGCCCATGGCCTCAGCCGGAGTTCTTATTCCTGGGATCCTCAAGTGTCACTGTATTTACAGCTCTCCAGACACCCTCCTTCTAGACCCGGAGCTTCTCAGGGGTGAGGAAGGCAGGGCCTGGCTCCGCCTCAGCCTGTTCCCCGAGCTCCTCCAGCCTAGTGCCCAGCACACGGAAGGCACTCTGTGAGGCCTGTGGAAAGAACACAGATCTTGGTGGCTTTCCCATGCTCCTGCCACAGCCAGAGACCTAGGTCTGTCTGCTCCAGGCCTGGTTTCATTGGCATGAGACAGGGGAAGGGGGCCCACCAACGAGGCTTAGCGTGGGTCCTCATGAGGACCTGTGAAGGGTGCCAGGAGGGGTCCTGGGCAAGGTGACCCTGGCAGTTGGCCCCTTCCTGACCACAGAAGCTGCAGAGAGTTCCAAAGACTGGCCCATCTGTAAAACTCACCCACGAGACCGCTTATGACTGAGTGTGACTTCTCACCCCCTCCGTGCCCACCCACATCTGAGGAACCGGGCTTGGAAGGACAGGTCTGCTGACAGGGTTCAGCTGTTGGAGGTGGTTTTGCTCACAGTCTAAGACAGCAGAGTTATCTCCCTCTCTGCCCTAGTCCACCATAAAGTCAGGTGGTCCAGGCTGAACCATCTTTGGCAGAGGGTGGCTGCTGCCACAGCCCACACAGCCTTTCCCCATCTCCTCCCGCCCTCAATGTTCCCAGGCAGCAGCTCTTGGGCAGCACCACCCAAGAGCTTATCTGGGCCCCCATTCAGGGAACCACCCCCCTCTGGAAACCACCTCCCATTAAGGGGTGGAGACAGAAGGAATGCCAGTCCTGGCTGGCAGGCTGCAGAACCACGCTTGCTGTTATTTACCAGCGGATGGCCTCCCCTCCTCAGATCTCAGCTGAGCTCCTTCCTTCCAGCGAGTTCTCAGTCAAGGTCTGCTCCTGTGCCCTGTGGCCCCAGCCCAGGACGCCTCACAGAGCTTTGCTCTTGGGGGCTCTGGACAGGGTTTGCTAAACCTGGGTGCTCAGTCCACAGCCCTATCTGTACATCAGGCCTCAAAAATGGTCACGGAAAGCAGGTCCTCACCAGTTCAGGGCTGAAGGTCCCGCGTGTGATGGAGTCCACTCTCCGGGTGCTGAGGCTTTCACTTAGGATCATCACCATGATAAGGACCTCAGGTGCTGGGCTCCATCCCAGGGTGGGCGTGAGCCATCTTCACTTGGGCAGACTTGGGGTGCATACCTTCTGAATTGATGTCAGCAGAAACGGCTTCCCATTGGCCACATCCCCTTGGGGTGGGACCTTCTGGGAAATGGCCAAGTGTGGTCAACTCCCTGGAAAGGCAAAAGAAAAGCAAAAAGATTCAGTACTAAGGAAGACCGGGGCCCTGAGAGTCAACCCTCCCACGGTTCTGGAAACCCCATAGAACGGGAACCACCTCTCTGCTAAAGAAGATGCACTCTGGGAGAGTCACTAAGGCCCAGAGTTACCTTTTCAGAGCCCCTGCACCCCTGCCATGCCAGCCTCAGGCTGCCTCATTTGTAAAATGGCCCAATGGGCAGAACAACAGATCGGGAGCCAGAGACATGATACCTTGAAGATCTATCTCGGGGTCTGGGTGGCTAACAATCTCCTGTCCCTGCAGTGTACTCAAGTCATGTGACATCCTAGCACTGAGCTGGCTTGCCAGGCAGCTTCAGCACACACCAGGAGGCGCTAAAGCAGGCCAAGGGTCGGAATACGCCTCATCCCCACATCCAACGCCAAAGAGGTCGGCCCTCAGGCAGCCAACTGGTAGCAGGGGACTGGCAGTCAGCATGCTGGCTCCCTTCACTATCTAGTTATGAACAGAAGCTACCGGAATAATCAGGAGGGTCCATTTAAAAAGGCATACATTTGGCTGGGCATGGTGGCTCATGTCTGTAATCCCAGCACTTTGGGAGGCCGAGGCAGGTGTATCACCAGAGGTCAGGAGTTCAAGACCAGCCTGGTCAACATGGTAAAACCCTGTCTCCACTAAAAATACAAAAAAATTAGCTGGCGTGGTGGTGTGTGCCTGCAATCGCAGCTACTCGGGAGGCTGAGGCAGGAGAATCGCTTGAACCCAGGAGGCAGAGGTTGCAGTGAGCCAAGATTGCACCCCTGCACTCCAGCTTGGACAACAAGATTGAAACTCCAGGTCCCCCCCACCCCCAAAAAAGGCATACATTTCTTGTCCTTGGAGGGGCCACATTTCAACAGCAACATCTTTGCAACACAGGGGCCTTCAGAGCCTTGTTGTCTTCCCCAGAATGAACTTAAACTAAGTAAGCTTCCAGCAGTGATAGGACCCACTCGGCATCGCCATTCTGCCCAGGCCATCCACTTCCCGCTCCGATAATCTACCATCATTTCCCAGCAAGCAAATGAAGAAAGAGCACACAGCCTTTGGTTCGGGTTTGAAAAATCCCTCCTTACACACTCATGTCTCTGATTCCATTTCCCCATGAGGCTAAACCTTCAAAGAAGTCGCACAGATACAAGGAATCTGAAGATCACCATCGGAAGTAAGAAATGATGATGATAGGAGTTAATAGAAAAGAGCTCCGAATCTGTATCAGAAACTAACCGTTCCGCACAGGAAAATGTTTTAGAATCTGCTGCTGTGTAAAAATTAATTGCGCCCTGGTATTTACTTGCTGTCCAGATTGTAAATCATATTTTCCTGTTTACTTCGATTAGACTTTACAGTGGGTGTTATTGAAATTGCTCAGTTACAGGCCAGCTGGCAAGCACAGGAAAATTACCTTCTACTGTTCTTCGAAAACAAGGTTCATCCAAAGTGCAAAAGCAGGGAAGGGCACCCAGGGGAGTCTGAGGATTCCCAGGTCGCACTGAGAGACCTGATGCACAGGCTCAATACCACATTGACCCAGGAGTGATATGCTCTCACCAAGTGTGATCTGCTCGGGGAAAGAATCTCAGACTACTCCTCCAAGTTCTGGCCAGGCAGCTGAGCCAGAAACGCCTGTCAGCACCCACTGCAGGCTTAGCTCAGGAGCAGGCCAGAGAGGTGGTCCTGCACTCGCCTTTCAAAGGGGTCTTTTGTGCCTCCTCGGTGGTGGAGACCTAATGGCGGCCATCCTCTCTCTGCATATGAGCCCCAATTCAGTTCTAGGGCAGCCAGTCATTGGCACAAGGCCTGGGAGGTGAGCTGCTAGTTCCCTCCTCCCCCATTTCCATCCTCTCTAGGAAGCCAGGTGGGCTCAGTAGCTATAGGCTCAGGTCCTGAGTCAAGCACAACTGGGTTGGAATCCCAGCTCCTGAAATATACAGCTTGAGAGGCCTTTGCCAAGTTACTCTCTGATCCTGTTTCCCTCTCTGTAAAACAGGGAAAATGGTGCCTGCCTCACCAGGTTATGGCATCTGATGAAAACAGCGCCCAAGTCCTCTGCTCAGTGCCTCGCTCATCTGGGCAAGTGCTCAATCAACAGCAGCTATTGCTAGCAGTTTCATGGGTGAGGCTGGGAGTCCAGATCCTCTTCCCCGCCACAGACGTCCAAGCAGCCATCCTCTCAAATGTGTTTAAAGGGAAACAAGCTAAAAATGCCATCGACAAGGGCCTGGCTATTTGATGGTCCATCCCTCTGAGGAAGAAGAGGCCAGTAAGAATGAAACTGTGGAAATCTATTGCCATGGGAACACATCAGCCCATCCAGACACAGCTCCGTATGAAGCAGGAAGCCAGATGGAGGCAAAGATGGGGCGTCCCAGCTCTCTCCAGCTCCATCCCCAGCAGAGTCCAGACAAGGAGTCAGGGCTCAGAGAGGCGGCAGAAGCAACAGAAGCACCTGGGCAACTGGGTGGCCAGCATACATGGCAGGCACGGAAAGCAGAAGGCAGGTGTGGCACAATGCCTGCCCTGGGGGTCTCAGAGAGTACAGTGACCCAGGCACCACATTCCAGAGGCCGGCAAAAGGGGATATGACATTGGACGTGGGTCTTAAAGACTCTTTCCCACAGGGGGCCAAAGACACACAGCACCGTAAGAGCCCAAGAATGGGGACAACCTAGATGCCTACAAACTGGGAAAATGGTTAAATAAACGATGGTGTTGTTATGTAAGGAAATACCATGTGGCCTTCAAAACTATTTTAATGAGGCAGTTCATACTTCAGATATAAAACAATTACCAAGAAATGCCATAATGTGACAAAGGCACGAAGAGTGAGTCCACCAGCCTGAGTGACAGAGCGAGTCTCCACCTCAAAAAAGAAAAAAGAGGGAATCTGGCATGGTCCCACATGGCAGGTGCCTTGAGAAGGGCACGACGGTTCCAGAGAGGAACTGCATCTGGCCGCCTGTGTGGTTTGAATATTCCAGCCCACACTGGCCCATGGTACTTTTAGTTCTTAAAAACAGGCAAGATTTCATCAGGAAGGGCAGGGCACCCAGGCAGAGGGAAGGGTGTAAGCAAGGCGTGGCCGCCAGCCCAGACTCGGAGTATGGGAATGGTGAACATGCTGGTGGCTGGCACACAGGGCACACAGAGGGCACTGCAGCAGGATGGGAGCCAGGGACAGACTCAAACCAGACCCAGGGCTCTGAATGCCACACTCAAAGGAGACGTTATCATGCAGCTGTGGGGGCTCCCAAAGGAGGTTGGAAGCTGGAGGTGGCTGCTTTGATCTGTTGGGAAAGCTGTTTTTTCTGAACCCTTTGCAACACCTACCACAATCCCTCGCACACCCTAACAGCTCAATACACATCTCTGGAATCAAGCTAAATTACAGCGACATCTGAAATGATCTGGGCACATTCTCAGAATTTGTGAGGCGAATCCAGACCAACACAGCCCAGCACGCTCTGGAATTTCCTGGGATTCCTATGATCTGTGGCCCCGGCCTAGCCAATTTCACTGGGGAATGCCAGGACCAGGCCAGAGACTTACAGCCCAGTCTGCAAACAGGGCCAGGGTCTCTTCGAAGAGAAGCCAGGGTGGGGGGAGGGTGCTATGGCCATGTAAAAGATAATAAGTAGGTGATCCCACAGGGGGCAAAGCCCTCCCAGAGGTCACCTCTGGGGCACAGACCCTGCTGTGGTCTAGTGGGTTTTCTCTTAACCTATATGAAGAAAAACTTCTATCTATTGGGCACCTACTATGTACCAGGCACTTTACACACATTAGCCACAAGCCAGGTTCAATTAGCCCCATTTTATAGCCATATATGGCAATTCACCCAGTCCAGGTTCAAAGCTGGGATCTGAACCCCGGTGGGCCAGCACCTAGGTCTGCACTGCCCACCAGTGCCTCGCCTCTCCATCCCCCCAAAAAACCCTTCAAATGCCCATTCAAACAACTATCAGCAACAGTTCTTAGCATTTATTCCAGAGAGATTAAGATTTACATTCACACAAAACTCACACACAAATGTTCGTAACAGCTCTTTATTCATCATAGCCAAAACAAGGAAATACTCCAGAGGCCCTTCACTGGGTGAATCATTAAACAAGAGTGGCAGGGACAGCCGCACTGTGGAATACTACCTGCCAATGAAAAGGGACCAACCAGACACCCGCGGCAACATGGATGAGCTCCAGAGACTCGGGCAGGGTGAAAGAGCCAGTCCCCAAAGGCTTGCTATTCTAGGAGTCCATTTATGTCCCTTTCTTCAAATGACAAAACTACCGAATGAGTGAAGAGATGAATGGTTGTCAGGGGTTGAGGGGTCGTGGGAGCAGGAGGGAAGAGGACGTGGCTATGAAAAGGCAGCAGGAGGGATCCCTGGAGATGGAGATGTTCTGTGTCTCCTCTGTATCTGTGACAATTTTCTGCTTGTGACACTGCATTAGACTGGCAGGATGTTACCATTAGGGGGCAGTGAGTAGGGGCTATGCAAGATTTCTCTGTATTATTTCCTGTAACTGCATGAGTATAAAATGATCTCAACATAAAAAATGTAAATAAACCCCAATCTATGCATTTATCAAAATTCACAGAACTAAACACCAAAAGACTTGATTATGCTATATAAAAAATGTTAAAACTTCTTGTAAAGCCCACTGATTACACCAGGAAGACCATGTGCAAGGGGAGGTGGGGGGAGTGTGTGTGTGCTGTGGCATTTGGCAGCCCTGGTCTTCGCTTTCAAATCACTTGGCTTTAGTTTCCTCATCTTTAAAATGGGGGTGAGGCTGGTCACAGTGGCTCACACCAGTAATCCCAGCACTTGAGAAGCTGAGGCAAGAGGACTGCTTGAGGCCAGGGGTTCAAGACCAGCCTAGGTAACACGCAGCAAGACCCCCGTCTCTACAAAAAGTAAAAACTAAAATAACTAGCCAGGCATGGGAGTGTACGCCTGTAGTCCCAGCTACCTGGAAGTCTGAGGTAAGATTGCTTGAGCCCCCAAGTTTGAGGTTACAAATGAGCTGTGATCATGCTACTGTACTCCAGCCTGGGTGACAGAGGGAGGCCTAATTATTTCAAAAGAAATAATTAGGCTGGGCTTGGTGGCTCTTGCCTGTAATCCCAGCACTTTGGGAGACTGAGGTGAGTGGATCACCTGAAGTCAGGAGTTAAAGACCGGCCTGGGCAACATGGTGAAACCACTTCTCTACTAAAAATACAAAAATCAGCTGGGCGTGGTGGTGCATGCCTGTAATCCCAGCTACTCAGGAGGCTGAGGCAGGAGAAACAGTTGAAATTGGGAAGCAGAGACTGCAGTGAGCCAAGACTGCACCACCGTACACCAGCCGGGGCAACAGAGAGATACGCTGTCTCAAAAAATCATCATAATCATTAATTAATTAAATAAACACAATGGGGATAATACCTTTGCCCTCGGGCTGCTGATCTAAATACGAAAATGCATATGAAAGAGCTTAGCACAGAGAAGGCCAGGCATTGGTGTCCTTCCCCTTTGCACAAGTAGCCAGCGGGTGGGCCCTTCTCATCGGCCTCACACCTCTGCAGCGGCTTTCCTTGCCCTGTATTTAGTCTCATACTGTCACATCCCAGTCCTCAAGTTCACCTCCTGCCTCTCTCCCGTGACTCTCCGGGAAGTGCTCATGAGAGCAGGCCTCCAGCCTGCCTCCACTGGGGCTACCCAGTATCTGCCAAAGGAGCACTGGGTGAGGGTCTCCCCTTGGCTGGCACCCCAACCTGATCATGGGGACACAGTGCTCTGGCTGAACCAACCCCAGGAGCCTCTACTCAGTGACTCATCTTCACCAGGATTTCTACTGAAAAGAGCAAAGGCAAAGTCAGACTTTCCACTGATCCGTGAGCCTGCTTCCCTGACTACCTTTATGCTCCCTGGGTGTGGACACGGTGGCAGAGGGCCCCTGCCCACCTCCCAAGTCCTCACCCCAAAAGTGCATCTGCCTAAGAACAGCCTCGAACTCGCCAGCATTGTGCCCAAAGCAAGGCCTAAGCATGGGAGGGCACGCACAGGCCCAGAGTCAATCTCCACCCCCACAAGTCCCACACAGCCACACTTCCAGCCACAGCCCTCCACCCTCACCTCCATTCCCATCTCCCTGGGCGTCAACCACAGGCTAGGTTCTTCTCAGCTGATCCTCTCACATTCCTATGAATAGGCATTACTGTTGGTAGTATGCATATTTTCCAGATGGGAAGATTGAGGCTCCAAGAAATCAAGTAATTTGTCTAACATCCTGCAGCTAGCAGGGGCAAGGCCAGGATTCAAGTCCAGGCCTTCCTCCCCAGGCTGCTCTATCTCTGACACCACAGAAATGGGGGGACAGCTTTGCCCTCACGCAACTCCTTGCTAACACAACCTTTCCTTGCTTTTGTTCTACAATCTTCAATGTGTCTTCGTTTGTTTGCAGCCCTTGGACACAGCTGGATGATATCACCGTGGCCTGGGACTCTCAGCTTCCATCAAGTGGGAGCCCCACCTGCCTCATCCACTTCAAAAGAGGATTGCATGCTAATGAATTAATACATAAGAGAAAGTGCTGCAAACTCTACAATCCTATAGAAATCTTAAGAAGATTAGAGGAGTTTACCAAATGCTCTGTAATGCATTTCGAAGGGCTATCCCTTAAAAGAAACTGACCATACTGGACATCATCAAGACAAACTCTTCCTTCTTCCAGCATCTTTATTTAGCCTGTACTTACTACTTGCACAAGTCAGTTTCACAGTTAATTTTACCACCTTAAAAACAGGACTCAGATCAAAACCTAAAGATAAACTTAGCCACAGACAGGGATTTTCCTGATGGCTCGCGGAAGTCACTGCTCTCAGAGCTTCCATTTCCCCCTCCCATTAAGCAAAGGAAATGGGAGGGAAGACAGCAATTCCACAGGTCTTCTGCGAAGGCCGTGTGCACTTTTAAACTTTCATAGCTTCGGTTGTTGGTGTGACAAAAGCAACCTGCAGACAGAATCCAAAGACAAGCGTGTGAACATCTGGAAAGTGTGATGCTTGGTGGGTCACGGTGTCTCCTGACAAATTCTGTGACAACCCAAAAGTGCAAGGAGGGTTCTGGGGGGAGCCGAATGCTACAGTCAAGCTTCATCTCCAAGACAAAGGGATTTAATCTGCTTGGAGACACTTCTGCTTGCTGATTTGATATCGTTAACTAAACCATGTGCATCTAAAGGATAAAAGTTGAAAGCTGCCTAAGAACTTTATCCAGGGCCTTTACCTTCCCAGACTACGCTGATACTGCAAAGAGAGTCTGGCGTTCCAACCAGAGGACAGGGCCCATAAACATGCAGCTTCCATACCACAGGGAGCGTTTCAACAACTCCCACAGCCCGGGTGCCCGTATCTTCAGGTCCCACTGAGAAGCAACTAACAGACAGACCTGCCAGCACTACCTTCCATATACAGAAAAGGAGGGCAAAGAAAACCTCTTTCGTCAATACTTTGCTAGTTCTATTAGCAGAAATAACAGGTGACACAGAGCCTACCTTTTAATGTAGCATGAGGAAAATATTAGCCATAGCAACAGTGTGCTCACTGCATCCTCAGAGTATCCCTATCAGAGACAGCTACTGTTATCCCATTTTACAGAGGGGGAAATTGAGGCCTGGGCCCAAGGTCACCCGGCTGTGAACGAGACACAGACTTGACCCGCATCTACTGAACTCCAAAGTTTTTGTATTAATCCCTGGATCCCTCTATTCCAGGACCTGTAAGTTTCGCTGTAATTTATCCCTTAAGTACTTGATTTGTCAGCGAAATGATCAAATGCCAAAGCGGACACTAATTTTGCAATACACACACTCTCTAATGTGCCCCAGCCAAACATCAACCTTCTGGAACTGATGCGGAAAGATGGCACGAGGGCCCTCTCTCCCCAGGCCCTGTGCCTCCTGCCTCTGCCTCTGTCACAGCCACCCTGCCCTTCTCTCAAAGTTCATTCCTAGGTTGTTTGCAGGGAGCCCTCTCCCTCCCCTCCATGTGTGCAGCCTAGGTGTGGACCTCCCTCAGTCATCCTGTGGCCTCAGCACAGAGCCTGCCCACAGCAGCAGCCTGACTGTTATCTATCTGCTAAGCCAGTATCACAGCAAGAGCACTGAACTTGAGTCCACGCTCAGCCCAGCTCAGTCCCAGAGGAGCTGCAGGGCCCTGGCTGAGCTATGTATCTTTGCTCAGCTTTCTGCCTTAGTAACATGTAAGAAGTTACCCTTGCTGTGCCCACCTCAGTTATAAGTTAAGGAGGTAATGCCTCATAAGGTGGGGACACTACAAAAATATCCCTAGAAGCACTGAAATCCTTAGGTAGGCACAATTCCTAGCAGAGCATAGGCCCTTATTAAATGCTCATAAATTGGATAAAAATATCTCGCCTTCACAGCTACAGCATTAGCTTCTAGGGGCCAAGAAAATGCTTTTGGGTCCTCCAAGTACCTTGTTCCTGCAAATGGGCTGGTGGGTGTTTCAGGGCGAGTGAGACTGGCTGGCTGCAAGCATGAGGCACCTGCTGTCCTTAGAAAGGGCATCCTCAGCCCTCCCTCACCCCTCTCTCCTCAGGAAGGTACGTCCTTGGAGGTGCTTTCCTCAGTGACTGGGGCTAAAACGTATTCCCCAAACTAGTCCTTCAAGTAATCAAAGGCCGCCAAAGGCCACACTTGGGGAAGGACTGGGAGTCGCAGTACACAGCTTGAAGGAGACCTGACCTACGCCCCTGGCTGAACCAAGTGCCCCAGCCTCCCCTATGCGTCTCCTTAATGGAATGGAAAAAAACAAAACAGTAAAATGAGCTGAACCAAATCGGAACTCTGTTCTCCTGGACTTTTCAGAGACTCTCACAAGGCTGTAGGGATTTTCTGCTTTTTAGAGCAAGTAACATTTCACGAGGAGGAGGAGGAGGAATGACATTCTTCAGGGACATAAAAGTGCTGAGAGCCAAAGCCAATCTGAGCACGGGAATGAGACAGTCATGTCAGTTCTTGAAACCGAAGCCAAGTGCACGCATGACTTGTCAAGAGTTATCAATGAAAAATAACTGACAGACGAGTTTCCTATCAGCGCTCCTGTAATCCTCACTACCGTTCATGTTATTTAACCCACCCCACGCCAAGAAAGAGCTTGCCATAGACGAGAAGTTGCCTGACACCCTCAAGAGGAAGGAGATAAGGGGCAGGAGGCACAGAGAGAGACTCACAACACCGAGTGGCCACAGGGTAGGGTGCTGCCTTCTTCTCCAAGCCAGGGCAAGGGAAAGAACAGGAAGAGAACCAGAGGACAGTGAGGGGCCGCAGCGGGCCCTAGCGATAACCTACTATCATGTTAAGTCACTCGGCTTAAGATGACCATGACCCGTTCTTCAGTCAGACCTGTTTATAAGTATACTGAATTTACTCAAACCGTGACTAAAAACCAACAGAAGAGGGTTTAAAAACACATTTAAAAACAAAAATGGAAAGGCCCAAACGAAAGGCTATGTGACCTAGGTGGATGAACAGCATTCAGGGGACAGGGCTCTGGGCCCGACAGTGCCACTTACCAGCTCTGCCCCGTTTGCCAAGTTAGTTCCCCTCTTGGAGCCTCAGTTCTCTCAGGTGTCAAAGGGATTCTGGGCCAGAGCAGCTCCGTTTCTGACTAGTGAGACTCTGAGTGCAGTCACATACCAGCTGTGTGGCTTTAGCCAGGTCTTTATGCCTCTCTGGGCCTCAGTTTCCTCACCTGTCATAGGCAAATGGCAACTCTGGAGAGAGCGTGAAAATCACTAGATTTGAAGGTGCTGAATGAACTATGAGAAAGGACAGTCAGCTGGTGAATGCCCGATCTGGAGCACCTCTATGTTGCTCCAGACTGTTGCAGGCCGGCCTCCCCAGTCCCACTCAGACCTGACCTGCAGTTCAAGGTCCCAGGAAACTAAACAGTAGCAAAGGCCAAATCCTTACTTGCTACCATCAAGTGCCCTGGCTGTGACCTTCCACACAGCAGAGTCAGGAGCAGGAGGCCACAGTGACATTCCTGTCATGGGCAGGACAGGGAAGGGGAGGTGGTGCAGCAGCAGCCCCGCTCTGACACATGCATGGGGGTATATGCGTGATTGCATTTTCCGAGCTCAATCCTTCTGTGCACAGGGGCGTCTTGGTGTCTTTCGGTGAAGCTAACAGCAACCTGATTTAGAGGAGTTATTGGAGAGTCAGAAGTTAGCCACTGACCAGTCTTGACATCTTCATCATCTACCTCTGAGAACAAGAATCTCCTTCTCCTTTACAAAATGTTTATGGGCTCTCAGACAGCAATACTCCCCTTCCTGCAGGACAATCCACCCTCAGCCCAGGCTACATGCAAAGCCTTGCTACCAGGGCAGCTCCAGCCACTCAGCAGGCAGGGAGGAGCATTCCTGTTGGCGTTTACAGCTCGCGCCGCACCCCCAGAGCCACCGCACAGAGGGAAGGTATCTCTCAGCAGCTGGGCCTGTGAGGACCGTGATCTCTTTATCTAGGAGGCCTGCAGGCTGGTGGCCCCAACACACTGGTCTAAGACAGTAGCACACTGGGACATGACAGGTGACACAAGACGGTCCCAACATCTCTGTAAGAACTGCTATAGGCACGAGAGCCACCAGGTTGCTCAGCTGCCACCCACTCCAAGGTCACATCCTACCCTCAGTTCACACTTCAGGACTCCCCTCACTTCCTGATCTGACAGAGTCATATCTACCAACCTACAGGGTCTATTGTAGAAATTAATCAGACAGGCTCATCAATCACATGTTAAGCCTTCCGCCTTCTCCCTTCTCCCTCCATATCACACTGCAAGCGCTACCACACATCCGAGAATGCCATCATCTGCCAAAACAAAACTGGAGGGACTCTAAGCTGCCAGGCGGGTCTGTCATACAACAAGAATACCTGAGCTCTGTGGCAACTCTCAGGTCAAATGGCCAAAGCTATCTACCTGGCTCCTACCACAGAGGAGGGCTCTGGAGGGCAGGATACACTCTAGTAAGACTACACCCGCTACCAGCCACAGCACAATGGCGGGGGAGCCACTGCATGTGTAACAGCCATCTTTCTATACACAGATCAAAACAGCACCAGATTCTTGCCTCTTAAGGCAGAGAAAGAGATTCCTGCAAAGAAGGGCTTCACCGCCAGGCACAGTGGTTCACACCTATAATCCCTGCACTTTGTCAGGCTGAGGCAGGTGAATTGCTTGAGCCCAAGAGTTCAAAACCAGCCTGGGCAACATGGAGAGATCCCCAAATCTGTATAAAATTTATAAAATGGCCAGGCATGGTGGCCCACACCTGTGGTCCCAGCTACACAGGAGGCTGAGTTGGGAGGATCACTTGAGCTAGGAAGGTCGAGGCTGCAGGGAGCTATGATAGCACCACTTTGTTACAGGTTATGTAACAGAAGAAGATCCTGCCTCACAAAAAAAAAAAAAAGAAGAAGGGCTTCATGAAGTCCTAATTCAAAGCTAAGTCCAGGCATTTGTCCTTAAAGTACTTAGAACTGACCACAGTTAATCTAAGAAGTTTGGGGGAACAGCTGCTCAATGGGTCTGGAGCGCCTTCTTTATTTTTTGGCATGCCATAGGGGTGGGGAGTAGGAGAAGAAAGGGGCACCTCATTTGCAAGCATTTCCCCCACTTCCTTCTATGCACTCTGGATGTGACAGGCCTCCTGACTTAAAAGACCTGGGTGGGGGAGAGTTAAAGAGGAAATGACACAGCCAACCAGATTCACCCGGCTTCAAACCAAACACCCTGGGATGCCAAGGTGAACTCTGACAGGTTTTTGATTACAGATCTAAGCAAGACTCAAAGGACTTTGGAAGAGTTAACCCAACTTCCCAAAATAAGTAATCATCTTCCTCATCCGAAACGGCCCAGGCTCCAGAAACAAAGATTCATTCAATTGTTTGTCCGCAGCACACCCCAAAGTGCTTGACAGACTGCCA